ATCTTAATCGACCCAATCAAGGTCATGTCAGTTATGCACACTGGTGAAATGTAAAAAAAAATTACAAACAAAAATGTAAGTTAGTTAGCTACACGTCTAGCCATGTTTAAAAAATGCCAAAACAAAACAAAAGTGTGATGCACTGCATGTACAAAAAAGCTAAGAATATTTTGACAGTTGTTGGGGCTTAGCAGGGTGCCACTCCTCCAGTGTCAGTTTCCACTTCTCAGAGCTTTAGCTAAAGTTATTCCTCTGAATAAATAGAAAACGCTGTTTTGCAATATGAATTAATGTAACAGTATATCCTAGGTAATTCTAATGATCATGTTAAGGTGATCAGAAGACGCCACTGGGATTGGTATTTAATTTTTTTTTGTCTAGTTAGGATACTTACGTAATACTCTTTTTTAGGATGTTTCTGCAATACTGCCCCAGGATTGTAAGAGAAACACTTGCTAAGACTTTCTAGTATGAAGTAATTAGTATGATCCATTCTAGTAAAAAAAAAAATGCAATTATTGATTATAGCGCCCCCTCCTTCAAAAAATGTAATCTGCTGCTGTTTAGACTTACTTTTTGTTAAATTTTCAGTTTTTATGATTTTTTTTTTAACATTAACTATTTTAATGAAAACCTTTACAGGATATGTCAAGCTCTGGGAAACTCACAGCAAAGAAAATTTACCGTCGCCTGATGGCTTTTTAAGGCCCCATAATAACCTAATGTTTTAACAGTAAAAGTGAACATTATATGTACACACTATTTATTATTATTTAGCAAGCTGTTTAATTTGGTGCTTCCATAACCTTTCATTACTTGTAATCTACATTAGCCTTGCTGCTCCAGTGCAAAACTAATAAAGGAAACTTAAGACAACAAACATGTCTTGGCTGACTGACTATATTTGGCGTAAGGTGGGAATGGGTAATTTTATTGCCTAACTATTGCTTTAAGCTACAAGTAGCTTTATGCTATCATTTCCAAAGCAAAGCGTGTGATGCCACAAGCAGAAACACATGCAGTATTGACACACTCGGCTTCCTGCCTCTAATCTTTCCCACAGAAATCCCCCCTGCCAACAAACTCGCCTTGATCCTTTATCACCAGCAAGCGCCAGAGCCATGCTCCCCAAGGGCGGGGAGTTTATTAAGAGAGAATGAGAGAAAGAAGGAGAGAGGGAAGACGAGTGACTTGAAAGAGAAGAAAAACTAGCAGGAGGGTCACTGCGGTCCCCGTGGGACTGGAGTCTCCGGCTTGTCATCCAGTGAGCGGCTGCGGAAAACATCGATATCAGCCTGCTGGAGCAGCCTCTCTGGTGGAGTGTGTGTGTGTGTGTGTGTCTGTCTCGATAGCAGCCTGTGGAAAGAGTCTCTAGCGGACCCTCGCTCATTCTCTCAGTATTGACAAGCCAGCCAGATCAATACTGTACTCACCATTAACAAGCTGCCTGAGGGCCTGAGAGAGAGAGAGAGAGAGAGAGAGAGAGAGCGAGAGAGAGAGAGAGAGAGAGAGAGAGAGAGAGAGAGAGAGAGAGCGAGAGAGAGAGAGCGAGAACAAGAACAAGAGAGAGAGAGAGAGAAGGAGAATGAAGGGAATGACATGACAGAGTAAAATAAAAAAGAAGTGAGGGTGAAGGGACAGAAGAAAGAAAAGAGAGGAAGTGAGAGAAAAGAGAGAAGGGGAGAGAGTTTGTAAGAGAGGGAGTAGATGAAGGGATGATAGAGAGAGAGAGAGAGAGAGAGAGAGCGTGAGTAGAGTGAGCGAGCGAGAGAGCAAAAGAACGAGAGCGCGAGATGGTCCCTGAGCTGTCCAGCAGAGACATGCGATTCAGCCACAGGCCAGGCGGTAAGGTCAAAGGTCAAAGCCACTAGTGCGATGGTGACAGACTGGAGGGCACAGATCAGCCTGACTACACATGTTTACACACTGCAGAGCCAGCAGAGAGACACACACACACACACAAACACACACACACACACACACACACACACACACACACACACACACACACACACACCACTAGGGAAGAGAGATTGCAGATAAAGGCATATACTAAACTGTCACTTTATTAGAAACCCTTACCTTCCACTTCCACTCACTGGCCATTTTATTAGAAACCCATACCTTACACTTCCACTCACTGGCCACTTTATTAGAAACCCCTATTTGAACTTCCACTCACTGGCCACTTTATAAGAAACCCTTATCTTACACTTCCACTCACTGGCCACTTTATTAGAAACCCCTACCTTACATTTTCACTCACTGGCCACATTATTAGAAACCCCTATTTTACACTTCCACTCACTGGCCACTTTATTAGAAACCCCTATCTTACACTTCCACTCACTGGCCACTTTAATAGAAACCCTTATCTTACACTTCCACTCACTGGCCACTTTATTAGAAACCCTTACCTTATTCTTCCCCTTACGGGCCACTTTATTGGAAGAACTGTATAGCACTGAAAATGGAGTTTAAAATTAATATCCAGAGTGCCTCATATTCATAAAGCAGTGAGCAAATCTTGCTGACAAAATAGCTAATAATTATATCTTCTACTTTTATTTTTAGTTATTACTGAACAATTATGGGGTTGGTATTTATGCAGGGGTGTGTGTATGTGTGCTTGAGTAGCGGTTTGCGTGCCTGTGTAGAGGTATGTGTGCTAGTGTAAAGGTATGCACACTGGTGCAGTGGTGCGCATGCAGGTGTAAGGGCGGGTGTTCATGCAGGGTGTGTGCTTGTGTAGAGGTATGTGTGCCGGTGCATAGCTGTGTGTGTACTGGCAAAGGCGTGCATATGTGTGTGCTGGGACAAAGGTGTGTGTGCTGGTGTACAGGTACGTGTACTACAAAAGAGGTGCGTATGCTGGTGAAGGGGTGTGTGTTTGTGCTGGTGTAGAGGTGCATGTGTTGGTATAGTTGGTATAGTGTTTACTACAGTGTGGGTGTCTGTACTGGTGTAAGGGTGTTTGTGCATGTGCTGGTGTTGGGGTATGTGTGTGTGTTTGTGCACCCGTATAGGGGTGCGTGTGCTGGTAAACGGTTCATGTACTGGTGTAGACCTCATACATTGTAAGCCAAACATATCAGACCTGGGGGAGGGTCTCTGGTTATGCACTGCAAAGCAAATGGTAGCCGAGCTAAAGACAGGATTGTGGCTAAAAGCTCACGAAAAGCACACTAAATAAACATTTGACCTTGTTCAAAACCTATAAAAAACAGTTAATACATCAATCTACAATATGGATTTGTGTCTAATTATGGATTTGTTATGGTCAGTATAGCTGGAAATCTGTACTTGACTGCTTGTTAACTCTAGCTAGCTAACTTTAATTAACTTTGGGATTAAGTGAGGTAAAGAAAAGAGGCTAGGCTAACACTAACACTGGCAGATAATCCAACTAGTTTGACCTCACTTCAACGTGAATACGAGAGTGTGAAAGAACAAGAGGTATAGAAATAATGTTACTGACAGCTCTTTATATTATTTATTTTTAGATTTGTTTTCAGTATTTGGAAAGAATGGCCCCAGTATTAGCCAAATTGCTGTTTACAGTAAGTTAATGTCAGTGAAAAATATGAGACTGAAGTTGCTTCCTGTTTGCCAGATTCTTGTTAGAATTTTCCAGTTGTGAGGCACCAGAATGAAACTGCTGCAGCATTTAAGGTGGAACAGGAAAATTGAAACAAGACATTGCCCTTAGCTTTGTGTGAAAAGGTCATCAAAACACAGTTTTACATCCCTCAATTCCTCAACCTGTAGATGGAGAGGCAGCAGCTCCGTCAAAGACCGGTCAGATGAGAAGATTTTTACAAGGTTAAAAAAATAATGATCTCTCATAAATCTATAATAAAATAATTAATAAAATGAATGCATTACTAAACACAGGAAAAGAGGGAGAGAAAGAAGCTGAAGGAGACTGATAGGACTGTAGAAGCAGATCTGATGGAGGTTAGTGATCAAAAAGAAAGTGATGGAGTGCTGCATGAGCTTCGGTTAAAATTAATGGTGGATTTAATTTAACTGAGAAAATATAATATTTGTTGCCATGACCATGAAATTCTGTCACCTAGCTTATTAAACATGTCTACAGTAAAATCATGCTCTTTCTGATTGCACTGAGACTGAGCTGATCCATAATCTGTGTGTTTGAATAATATATTTATAACCTTGCAGCTTGTCTAAGAGAGAGGAGAGAGCATTGCTTGACTTCAGTACCTTTGCTTGATCTGTGCCTGTTGTAAGTGGATGGATATAGTGTTTGTTATACAGGCAGATTCACTTGAAAGAGGCCCCGGATATTCTGTAATAAGTCTCGCTAGGACAAAGCAATCTGAACGAAATAACGTGCAATGTGCTCCTTAGTATATGGAGCTTCAAACAAGCTGGGATGCCCCTGTGTCAGAGTGATGAGGTAGGCGCCGGACAGTCGTCACAACATTTAACCTTCATTTGTAACTTCCGAATGCATACCCCCGTACCCCTTCACTCAGTCACTCGACATCTCATCAGGATGGTGGTGTGCAGTATTGGGCAGTGCATCAAGGTATGTAGCTTATTTTTTTGGTTCAGATTGATTTTGCCTAACGGGAGTTACAACAGAATATCACTCTTTAGAGTGAATCTCCCTGTACTAACTCTGTGCTTAATATAAACTACAAAGAGACAGATCTACTGTGTGTCAATTTGACAGAATAACCATTTTTGATATACTTAACACAGTTGATCCATTTTCTGGCTGTTGCGATTCTAAAAGTACTTTAAAAACTTTGTGGGGCCATTAAAAAATTCTCTTTGGGGACTAAGTTCAGGCTTATTCCCCCTATCCATAAACCTCTACTGTAGGAGTGTTTGAGCTGGTAAAAGGCTCATGTGCTGGTATACTGAACAACCAAACTGTTTTGGTTGTAGGGCTGCGAGTGCTAGGTAGGGGTATGTGTACTGGTGTAGGGGTGCATTTGTGTTTGTGTGTGTGAGATGTCCTGAAGACATACCCGCTGCTGTAGAATCAGTCGTACACGATCCATCCAATCCTCACTTACTTCTTTATCACAGTCTTCCTCCTGCACAACACACACACACACACACACACCCACACACACACACATTTTATACATGCAATATTGATTTTCTTGCTTTTTTGCAAATCCAATCTAAAAAAGTTGTGACAAAGGTAAAATGCGAATAAATACAGAAAGTAGTGACTTATAAATCTACTTTGACCTGTATTTGAATGAAAATAGCACAAAGACAAGATATTTATGTTTTATATTATCAACCTCATTATTATTATTATTCTTTTTAGTAAATATACACTATAGGGCACAAAGTATGTGGATACCTGACCATCAGACCTACATAAGCTTGCTGGATATTCCATTCCAAAACCATGGCCATTAATATGGAGTTGCCCCCCTTTGTGGTTATAACAGCCTCCACTAAGTCTGGGAAACTTTACACAACATTTTGGAGTGTGTACACACAAGATTTTGGAGAATCTGGGAACTTGTGCCCATTCAGTCAAAAGAGCATTTATGAGGTCAGACACTGACGGTGGACGAGAAGGGCTGGCTCAAAATCAACGCTCCGATTCATCCCAAAGGTGTTCAGTGGAGATCAAGGCTCTGTGCACAATGTTCCTCCACACCAACCTCAATAAACCATGTCTTTATAGACCTCGCTTTGTGCACAAGTCCCAAGTCAAGTCCCAACTCAAGATTATCGAGTCTAGATTCAAGTCCCATATCAGTACAAGTGAGTCTTAAGTCGAGTCCCAAGTCAAGAGTCCTAAACAAGTCAGTCTGCAATCTTCAGCTAATTTAAGGCCAGAACACTGAATAATAGTAACAGCGCTATAGCCTTTTAATGACAGCATGCTAGTAGTGTGTGGCTGTATATTATTTTTACCCTTCCAACTAAAATGCAAAATCCATGGTACACAGATAACCACACTCTTAAAAAGGATGGTTCTTCAAGGGTTCTTTAGTAAAGAAAATGGTTCTAAAAAGAACTATGAACACTTAAAGAGCCCTTTGCATGATTAAAGTGTTCTTTATTTGAACTCTAATGCTTTGTTTGTCTTCCAAAATAAAATAAACTGAGCATAAGCACAGTAAATCTGAGGACATTGCTGTATATTCAATTTACGGTAGGAAACAAATCCATTCACATGGTAAGCAAACGTCTGTGTAGCAGTCTGCAGCCAGGCACCTCTCCACGTTTCTTCTACTTTGTGTCTCGAGTCTTAAGGCTGAATTCCGAGTCAAAGTCCGAGTCACTGGTGTTCAAGTCAATGTCAAGTTGCAAGTCTTTCTCGATTTTCTCGAATCAAGTCTCAAATCAACTAATTTGTGAGTTCAAGTCCAAGGATCTAACAGGGTAGATGTTTTATAAACTGACTTGTGCCATCCTATGACAGTCACTGAACTCTTCAGTATGACTCATTCTACTGCCAATGTCTGTCTATGGAGATTGCACGACTATGTGCTTGATTTTATACACCTGTTTTCAATAGATGTGGCTGAAACACCTGAACTTAATAATTAGAAGTGGTGTCTACATAATTTTGGCTATACAGTATACATTCATTCTGAAATAGATGCCTACAACACATTCCAAACAAAATTTGGGACGGGTTAAAAGTTAATTTTCCTCAGCCAAGGACGGCAAGGATTTTAGGTATTTCACCCCCTTTATGGTGCATGTCATCACCATAAAGGATGAACCCAAAGAAATTTCTGTGTGTAATTAAATGCCCATGATGACTAACCCCTAAGATAGTAAGTGGGAATACTTTGATAAACACTGTCCGTTGCTACATCCACAAATGCAGATTAAGACTGTACTATGCACAGTGGAAGTCATGTCAACAGCGTTCAGAAACGCTGCCGACTTCTCTGAACTTGAGCTCATCTGAAGTTTCCACCGATACACAGTGTAAATGTGTTTTGTGGTCTGGCGAGTCAAAATTTCAGAGTATTTATGGAGATAATGGACATCTTGTTCTCTGGGCCAAAAAAGGAAAGGACCATCCAGATCACTACTAGTGTAAAGTTCAAAGCCATGCTCTCTCATGTTACGGGGTGTTCATCAGCGGATAGCATATCTATGAAAGCATCATGAATGCTGAACACATTTCAGAGCAACATTTGCTGTCTTTTATACACCATCTTTTTCAGGGATGTCCATACTTATTTCAAAATGAAAACAGAAAGCCACTGTCTGCACGTTACAACAGCATGGCAGCATAATCAGAGAGTGCTGTTAAAAGGAAAGGTAATGTAACACAGTGGTAAACATGCACCCGTCCCAACTTTTTTGGAACATGCTGCAGGCATAAAATTTGTAATGAGCGCCTGTTTAAAAGCAACAATGATGTTCATAAGGTACAATATGTAATATTGTGTTTTTGTATTGTTTTATTATTTAAGGAGGGTCAAACAGAATTGACTAGTCTCTGTTTTCTGATTTTATTGCCATTTCACACACAGTCCCAGCTTTTCTGTAATTTAGTTTGTAGTTTCTTTCTTACTTCTTTGTTTTTCAGACATTCTCTTTTAATGTCTTCTGTTGTTTCTTTCTTTTTTGCATACTTTAATTACTAGATGTTTGCTTTAACACTCTGCAGAACTGTGAAATAGCACTAGTACTGCTAAACATAGCATTATGACTACGACTAATAATTACAATATTGGCAATACTACTATTGTTAATAATAATTATAATCAAAAATTATAACAACACCGCAACAACAACCACTATATTAATAATACTACTACTATTAACATTAATACTAAAACACACCTCATCTGTGTCTAGCATGCTGGCAAGGTCAGTTTGGGTCAGGTTGAGAATGGAAGCAGCGATGGATTGAGCTTTTTGCATAGAGCTTTTGGACACTCCTCTATCTGCTCTCTCTCTTTTCTTCCTCTCCCTCTTCCTCTTCCTTAGCTTTGCTCTGGTCTCCTGCACCTCTCGAGCCACCTCCACTACCAGCGCCTGGGAAAGAGTGAAAGAGGAGGAGGGATGATTGAGTTACATTTATATTTACATAATTATCAACATTTATACAGCGCAAAACCACAAAAGCAAGTCTATTTGAGATTACTTAACAAGTTAACACTTCAGTACGGTCAAGGCGAGTGTGTGATGATTTAGGCATGCAGTTAGCACCATGCTAATTGTTTTTGTATAAGCTTCTGTTACTGGTTAGCTACATTAGCCTCATAGCTTCAGAGCAGTGAACTTCAGGCACCAATTATGTTTTGCCTGTTGATTAGATTTGTGGAAAGATAAAACTGGATAAATTAGTTTTTTTGCTGAACTACCTCTTAAATGCTTTATAACAAAGTAAAAAAAGCATGTTAGTGTAAACAATCAGAACGCAAGCCCTGAGACACTTCTTGAAGGTTGTAAGAGATGCTGCAGGACGAATGGAGGTATGTAGCTTTTGGATCCTCATGTAAAAAGTGTTATTAAGAGCTTGCTTCTGGAGCCATTTCTTCTGAGATTTAAAGACTGAATGGGAGTATGCGTCTGGAGTCTCTGACGCCAAGTATGCTAAAAGTTTGAAGGCCCTCATGTTGATGTGGAACAGAATTGCACATCAGGGAGAGAGCTGCTGAAAAATGCTAACTTTCATTTATTCATTTGTTTTTTCATATAGTCTTCCATCACAGCACCAAGAGGGTAAATAATTGAGCAAAGCAGAGCTGTTAAAAATGGCAGCACAGAGGAGAAGGTTCATTAAAATAAAAAAAAAAATATTCCTGCTGGTCCAAGACCAGTTTTGGGTTTTGTTTATTACCAGACAGGATTAGGGCTTCGGCTGCGGACACCGCTCTCAGGACAGTTCTTAAGAGGGCGTTTTAGAGCCAGGAGCAGAGGGAAAATGGCAGCAGAGGAGAGGGCTGAACGCAAGCAGCCGCTAAATACAGAGACAATTAAAGCTTAAAGCTGCCACTGTACATGAGAAAGTCAATAAAGTAAACTCCCCTCTGCTTCATTTTGAGCTTATTGATCGCTGCAATAATCTCCCGTATCATTCCCCCTTAAGCCTTTTGAAAAACTGACCTTGGAATGGACAGCCTGTGGAGAGAATGTGTGTGCATGCACAGACACAATACACATACACTTACATATACAACACTATATATATACATATATAGTCGTATGCAAAAGTCTCAGAGCCTCTGGCTCACACATTCCATGTTTTATTGACTGGATTAAATAATAAGTGCATGCCCTCTACTGAGAACACACTTCTGCGCATTTTAACTCACAATTACTGTTTATCTGCTGAATTAAAGATATTGAAAAAAGTAAAACAACATAAAATGTGGCCTGTTCAAAAGTTACGGCACATTTTATATTTATTTTTTCCAGTATGTTAAACTTAGCAAATAAAAAGAAATTGTGGACCATTATTTGCAGAACCTGGATGAAGAGCCCCCTTTCTGATGTTCTAAAATGTTCTCCCCTGATAAAATGATGGGGCCAAGTCTAATCTCAACACATCTAGTGAATAGCTATGGTCTAATCAATCCCACAATTTCATCTGGATCACTGTATTCTTAGGACTGATTCCCAAAGTATTTTTTTCTTATAAAGTGAAAAAGATGAAAGTTGAAAGCTACTGCTTTGTGTAAGTTGTCATTTCTGTTGCAGCAATAACAATATGAATTTATACAATATAATTAAGTAATTAATATAATCACAATAACTACTTAATTAATGAACAAAACTAACATTGCTTAAAGTAATACCTGTAATTGTAAATAAGATAGACATTTCAGATGTCAGACATTTCAGACATTGTATGACTTTAAAGTTTTAAAATCTATTTTTACAGACTTTTTAAAGGGTCCATGGGAACGTAGTAAAATAACACACATCTACAAGTTTACTTTAACATTAAAGTCAATAATACAATCTCTTCCTGACTGATAAAAACACATACTCAAAAAACAACATCCTTGGATTACAAGCTTTACTGAAATGTTAGAAGTGAACACGCTGCGAGAAGACAGGTGTGCTGACACAATGCCCACATATCTGTGCGCATGCAAAACTGTAACATCCCAAACTTCAATGGGTACAAACAGACACTTAAACTAGTTATTATATGAAATAAAACGCGATCAAACAAGTCTTCATTAGGCTTCAGAGGGAAGTGCGGGATTACACAGGGACTGCAGTTTCACTCTCCTGCTCACGAACACTATTAACACTCAGCTGTGGGATCAGCTGCTAAAGACGCTTCTGTTTTCTGTTTCGCTTCAGTGTAAACCCTCATTAACAGTCAGCACTGAGTAATAAAGTGTGTTTTCAAAAGCAGACTGGGACCAATGTGGAGTGCAAGATATACACACACACACACACACACACACACAAACAGCATTTAAAATGCCGTTTCAGTAATGAGAAGTGGATAATGCCTATCAGTGTGTCTCATTTTGTATATGACTAACACATCCCTAATTTTATTGACACAGCTTTTTAATCACAGGGTCACTAATTACAACTTAAATTACACCAGACGCTAGTTAAATGTAAAAAAAAATTAGATCACTTAAAAAAAAGCAAAAACACTAAAACTGTACTAAATCAACACTCACAATTCAAATTTATTCAAAAAATGACATATATACATTTATAAAGGTGTGAAAATTAGATCTGACTAGTAGGGAAGCTAATGTTTACATACAGGAATTTCAAGGTAAAAACTAGGTAAAGAACACCTGCAGTTAGAATTTCCATACTGTCATGTACTTGGATAAATGTATTGGAACACCTACAAATTACACCTACAGTAGCTTTTTTGACATCCCAAATCCATAGGCATTAATATGGAATTGGCCCCCCCTTTTCCACTCTTCTGGGAAGCTTTCTACAAGATTTTGGAGTGTGTCTGTGGGAGTTTTTTGCCCATTCATCCAGAAAAGCATTTGTGAGGTCAGACATTGATGTTGGACGAGAGGACCTGGCTTGCAATCTTCGTTCTAGTTTATCCTAAAAGTGTTCACTGGGGTTGAGGTCAGTGCAGAAAAGTCAAGTTCTTCCACACCAAACTCACCCAACCATGTCTTTATGGACCTTGCTTTGTGCACTGGGGCTCAGTCATGCTGAAACAGAAAAGGGCCTTCCCCAAACTGTTCCCACAAAGTTGAAAGCATACAATTGTCCAAAGCGTCTTGGTATGCTGAAGGATTAAGATTTCCCTTCACTGGAACAAAAGGGCCTAGGCCAACCCCTGAAAAACAACCCCATAGCATTATCCCCCCTCCTCTAAACTTTACAGCTGGCACAATGTAGTCAGGCAGATAATATTCTCCTGGCATTCGGCAAACCTAGACTGCCAGATAGATAATCATGATTTATCACTCCACAGAATGTGTTTCCACTGCTCCAGAGTCCAGTTTACATCACTCTATCCAACGCTTGGCATTTGCTTGGTGATGTAAGGCTTGCATGCAGCTGCTCCGCCTTGGAAACCCATGCCATGAAACTCCTGGTGCACAGTTTTTGTGCTGATATTAATGCCAGAGGAGGTTTGGAACTCTGCAGTTACTGAGTCAGCAGAGTTTTGGTGACTTTAATGCACTATGTGCCTTAGCACTTGGTGACCTGCTCTGTAAATTTACATGGTCTGGCATTTCATGGCTGAGTTGCTGTGATTCATAAATCACTCACAGTTGATCGCGGAATATATAAGAGGGAAGACATTTCGTGAACTCACTCGTTGCAACGGTGGCATCCTATTACAGTACCACGCTGGAATTTAGTGAGCCCCTTAGAACGACCCATTATTTCACGAATGTTTGTAAAGGCAGACTGCATGGCTAGGTACTTGATTTTATACATCTGTGGCAATGGGACTGAATTAAATACCTGAATTCAATAATTAAGAGGTGTGTCCCAATACTTTTGTCCATATGATGCATGTTATACAGTTGTATGAAAAGGTTGGGGAACTCCTGGCCAAATGGAAACTGGCCTAGCAGAAACTGGCATTATTGTAGAGGTGGGTTTTGTTGTATGTTTTGACATTTATGGCACAAGTTGGCCATAAATCTAAAACAAAAGGCCTAGATCTAAAACAAAGTAGTTAACTAATGATGAAATGCAAAAGTGTTTGTTATTTCCATTTTTTTTTGTACTTTTATATGGTACTGTAAAGTATTTGTATAAAATCTTAAACCTTGGGAACATACATGTATGATTAAATCCTTTTGACCTATAGCATAAGGAATAAAAAGCACATAGTTTAACTTGCTGGTGCGCAACAAAACATCCGTCACGAGAGACCACACACACACTCAGAGCAAAGTGTGTTAATTATGATAGCAAACAAAAACGATCCGATTGAATTAACAATTCAAATGAAGCATGTTTACAGTGTCCCTGCATGCAGCACCGCGCCACCTTACACACACACACACACACACAAAGCTGTACTCCCATACAGTACATATCGGCGCTGTCCACAAAAAAGTATCATCTGCCCTTTACATTGTGTAAAAATTCATGATGAATGAACCAATAGAAAAACTCCTTGGAATAAAACCATGTTACATTAACTTACATTGAAAGTTAAGAACGTCTTCGCCCTCTCTCGTGAAGTTTTTGGAAATACTTGTTTTTCTTTGGACAGTGACGATATACATATTAATCTGATGAGTTATCTGATGTTATTGTCATTTTTCTGTACAATTTAAATGCAATTGCAAAACTAAATAATTAACTGCATAGTTATCTCATGAATTATATTTACAGTATCGTATTACAGTACTGGTCATTCATTTAAGTTATTTATTTTTCAGTTATTCATATCTAACAGAAATTACACACAAGCCTGCATCACTAAATATAACATTTAATCTATCGGTATTAAAACTGTCCTCTCTTTATTTTTGTGCACTCTGCTGACTGATCTGACTGATTCTTTTATTGCCACTTGACATGTCGGTGGTAACTGTATCCTGTAATTGCATCAAGATGTAATTTAACTCCTGGCCTGTGATGTGCTGGCGACCTGTCCAGGGTGTTTCCTGCCTTTTGACCGATGACCGCTGGGATAGGCTCCAGCACCCCCCATGAGCCAGAAGGATGAGCGACTTAGATAATGTGTGTTCATAATTTAACTCTGTTGTAGTACAATACACACAATGTAACACACATGCAATAAACACATATAAACAATAAACAATATACCATATACAGCATTTAGTACAACATAGTCTGCACTGTGGCAAGCCATGTGGCCGCCACTTTAACACTTCCATCCTTCCAATCTTAAAATGAACCAACGGTGTCCTCCCAACAAAAGCTGTTTCCAAAGGTGTCAATGAAATTGTTCCCTTTCACAGAGATACAGAAGACCACCAAAACTGTCACTTTTAGATAAACAGTACTTATGGCTTTGAGATAGAGGAGAAAATCAAGTTCTACTCTTGTTTCAGATCTGAAAAGATTCACAGGTATTTCTGTCTAATCTTCCACTGTGAGTCTAAACAGATGTGTAGCTTTCCAGGAGCTGTTCTTAAGAAAAAGAAACAGACAAAAAAAATCTGAACACTGAAACTGAACATCTGAGATATTAAGTAAGTTTTTATGGACTGAGTGTACATCTGTAATTAGGATTGCTACTACTACTGTACTGTACTACTACTGTAGTAGGCTTGTGACAAGCACAAAATGCAACCAACTTCTAAGAACGCTGGAGGTGTTTATAAGAAGTGTGGATCCCTGTAGATTTCTTTGAAAAAGCAAGTCTCTAGAAAAGAACCAAAGCTCTTTCTTTAAATAGAAGCTGCAATCAAACTTGGTGAGGCTACTGTGTCATGTTCCTTTTTCTGCTTTTTTCCTGATGCTAAAAATTGAATAACTTGCACATAATGGCTATTTTGACTGGAAATTAAATAAACGAAAGGGTGATCTCTGACTTCTGCACAGTACTGTACATTTGATTTACATTCTCTATTGACAGTGTCATTATGTTTTTGAGTGTTTGTCTATTTCTGTTTGTTTCAAAGTCATTTGCAAAGGATGGTTTTCCTTTCCACAAAAGACAGTACACACAACAACTTTTCATCAAATTTAAATCATAATAAAATATCTCCTCTGCTTGTGTCAATTAATGAGAAATAATTCATATACAACTAGTGTGCTTTTGCTCTCACCAGCAATAACTGTGACTTCTAATGGTACCTACCGCAAGGTGCATCTGCATAATCAGCCCAAGCCCTCCCTCATCATGCTTCCACACCACATGGCTCAGGTTTCAGCACATCCCCCTGAGCTCACACAGCCCTGAGGGCTTAGCATGGCTGGGACGCTTCCATCAACGTCTCATCAATAGCTGCCACTGTAATCTTCACAGGAATACCTCCAAGGAGCTCAATCAAACGGCCTGTATCTCTTACAGGAATGGGTATCATTTGAAATTTTTTGACTCTATTGCTGATACCATTGACCTCAAATTCATTCAAATCGATACCAAACCAGTAACTGTACTTCATATATAATGTTAAATCTGTACATATGGCTAAATCTGTACATAGTTTGTTTTGTACACACAGCAGTGTAATGTGTTACCTGTAGTGTGTTATGTGAACAGCTACAGCAATTAAGCAGTTAATCTGTAGTGTGTTAGTTTTACAGTGTGTTATCTAGAGAGTTACACCACCTGCAGTGTGTTATCTAGAGAGTTACACCACCTGCAGTGTTACCTGAACAGACTAACCACCTGCAGTGTGTTACCTATACAGTTACACCACCCGTAGTGTGTCACCTGTACAGTTACAGTACCTGCATAATGTTACCTGGAGTTTTAGCACCTACAGCATGTAACCTGTGTAGTTACAGCACTGATGTGTTACCAATACAGTTTCAGTACTTGCAATGTGTTACCTGAACAGTTACAACGCCTGCAGTGTGTTACCTTGACAGTTACACCACCAGCAGTGTGACCTGCACAGTTACAGCACTTGCAGTGTGTCAACTGAACAGATTCAGCACTGGCAGTGTGTTACCTGTATAGATACACCACCTGCAGTGTGCTACCTGTAGGGTTACAGCACCAGCAGTGTGTTACCTGAACACATTTAGCATTTGCAATGTGTTATCTGAACAGATTCAGCACATGCAGTGTTACCTGTATAGTTACATCACCTGCAGGGTATTACCTGTGTGAAGGACCTTAGTTGCTCATGTTGGCACTGTGCCAGGCTGAGTTTGTTCTGCAGCGTCTTTAGGGCATCCGAGTGCTGCTGGGACACAGCCTGCACCTGCACACACACTTTCTCCTCCAGCTCCGCCCGCGACCGCTCACACTCGCCCAACCGCACTTGCATCGCCGCCAGCTTCTGATCCTTAACACGCACAAATGTACTCAAACACTTTTCAACTGGAGTGTTACAGTATGTAAATTTTTTCAACAAGAGACTGGCTGAGCTTAATTTAAATACAACATTAAAACATCTAGCAAAATAATAAAGATAATAAGGCAAAGTTGGCAAGAACAATGTTTTGTATCTATAAAGAATATTGCATAAAGGCCAGACATCAAACATCAGATATGAGGATAATTAGGCACAATGAGATAAAATGTGTGCCAGTTAATAATCTGTGCTTAATTGGCCTACGATGATTACCAAACATAGCAAATCATTTTCTGCATGGGTAGAAGGAGCATTACTATAACTTAATTCAGCTAAATGAAATGACTAAATAAATAGGGAAAGGTTATTCAATAATCTGCTATGAGTGTAAGAATGCGCTTCATGTTCAATTTAATTTAGACCAACATCAATTTGTTTGACTGTGTACCAGTGTTAAACAGTGAAGCTTTACTTTTTTCTGGAGATCTTCTCTGAGTTTTTGGCTGGTGGATTCACACTGGTTCTTCTCCTGAGTGGCTACGTTCAGCCTTCTCTTCAGAGACTCAATAAAAGCCTTCCGGTTAGCTGCTTCCTCAGACAGAATCTTCACCTGACACCAAACAGGAAGTCAACAGCAGGGATTCAGAATGGGGAAAAACACCTGTAAAGGTTTCCAGCTGTTTCAGGGCTGTCAGGGTTCATGCCAGTTCACTCCAATACAGAGACTGACTCAGATCTTTACTTCGAAAGTGTCATCTAAAACCTGTGACTCATTTTTCAACTATTATTTTCTTCTGAAACGGCCTGTACCCTGATTTCTGATGCATAATAAAGGTTCAGCAGTGATGAAAATGTTGCAGTGTGACAGGTCATCCTTAAAAAGGGGGGGTTCTTTAAAGGCCCTTTGGTAAAGGGCCAGTTATATACAGAAACTTGACAATTTGAATTGTATGAATGAATAAATGATTCTTTGCATAGTTAAATGGTTCTTCTCTATGATGGAAAACCTGTATATAGTTCTGCAACTAACCTTTTTTTACAAAGGGTTCTGCTATTGTTACAAATAATTGAACCTTTTTTTAGGTACTACACGGACCCTCACATAGCTCTCTTTCACAGAATTTCATCCAGTGTCAGAAGCCACATAAACAAGTCTATTTAAGATTACTTAACAAGGTTTGAGGCAAAGGTCTGATGATTTTGGAGGATTTGGGGGAAAACTGTAGAAATGTGATTTTTGTATAGTTTTAAATTGTCTTCTAGTAGCTCTGCAGGCTCTACAGACCTTCTTCTCCAGGTCATCAATGAGTAAGCGCCGGCTGCTTTCTGAATCCTGCAGGATCTTCAGTCGGCTGCGCAGGTCCTCCACCAGCTGCCTCTTCATAACCACATCCCTTTCAGCATGACTCAGCCTGCGCACACACAAACATACAGTGCAAATATATACTATATGTATTAGCACATCTAATCTAGTCTGTATTCTTTTACACTACTCATATTTTTATACACTCTCTGTCTCATACGGTCCTGTGTATTTATAATGCTGTGTTTGTTGTTGGGCTTTGAGCCTAGCTTTGTACTGGTGCATACTCTATTGAACTGAGCTATGAGTGGTCTATATCTTGGCCTTTTGTACTGTATGGTCAGTTTTCCTAAATTATCACACAGAGGCACTAAAGGAGAGTTATTTGTTTTGATTGTATACTGTATTTAGCTGGGGTGACAAAGTTCTTCTTGGCCTGGCTCTTAAATCACATCAAAATCATTCCAAAACAAAAAATAACATTGAATTTATAAGCTCTTCAAAAGCCCAGTCATTTGAATGTGGGTGTGCCTATAGCAAAAACCTGCCTTATCCTACACCGAATTTACTCTGATAGCATGCACCTACATGCCTAGTTCTGATCATTAACAATACTTTCAATGAGAGACAATAAATGACCGATGATTGGGAGAGAGTGAGTGGTGTATTGGCAGTATAGCTTTACATTTCCATGCACTGTTTTACATATTAACAATTTCTAGCTTTTGATATTGTATTATGTATTATATCTGTATATAGTGATACACAAGATGATATTTTTTGTCAGTTTGTAATATTTTTAGCCATATTTGATAATGAGCTTTACATCCATTATATAAAATTGTGTTGTTCCTGTGGCAATGAAATATGTTTTTATTTTTTCTGCATTTTACTCATGATATCCAGTACCTTAAAGGGGAATTTGATTTGACTTGCCAAGTCATGTTCACAGTGGTGGTAATAGGAACCAGACCTCTGAAGTGTGTTTCTGTGAAATGCCTCACAGAAAATTATTACATAAACTGGTTACGACTATGCTGCCTAATACCTGACACACTGTTTTACATTTACATTTTTTCCAGGTTTGCCATTTCTTTAACATTATCAACATTACACATACTTACAAGACATGTGTAGGTTCACTGGGGATTTTATTAGAAAATAAAATTGCTATATTTGTGGTGTAGACACCGCAAACCTTAGTTCCTATCAACACCACTGTAAGAAAATCTGAATCTGTATATTCAGATCCAGATTTCTTTACAGAAATGAATGTTTCAGATGAACCATTTTGCCTCAAAACACTCTGAATGACTTTGCATGCCAACAAAATTTAAAAAATTCCATAAACTACACAACTAAATCAATAGTATGGTTCCTTTCTGGAAATTAATAAATAATTAATAAATAGAACGAAACAGAATAAAACAGGCTATGCTTGTAATACATTGTTATAGTATAGAGTATAAGCTATCACCAAGAATGGACTCCAATACTTTATTAATGCTCACTAAAATATCTGAAACTGAAACTGTGATGTGTTTGTAAAATATTGTGATTTTGAATATTAATGATATTAATAAGCCCTACTGCAGTGAAATCTCTACATTTTTACTCTTGATAAGCAAAAGGGTGCACAGATACACACAACAAACACTTCCACCAGCTCACAAACAGCTGAGGGTGTGTGTGTGTTTTGTCGCTATGCTGTAAATGAGGAGTGAGTGCTTTCTTTCTCCAGGTGAATGTCTGTGCCTGCTGTGCAGAGAGCCCAGACCAAACAGGCTAAATAAATGTGAGCAGTCTTATTGGAGTGACATTAACTGAAATGAGAGTGTGGCCTGGGGACCCTGCGCTGGCTCCATAGACAGCAGCATTAATGAGAAAACCCATATTGACCCTGTTTCAGAGGGGATAGAGCACTTCCTCCTGTTGACATACTGCCACGCTTACCCTCCTCCATCCATCTCTCCATCCCTCTCTCAGGAGAGCTAATGGCAATTAGCGTTATACCATTTATTTTAGAAGACCTCTCTGTTCAAAAAAAAAAGCAAAAGGAAAGAAAAAGATGAAAAAAGAATGAGAGGTGTTTCAGAGTGGATGGTAGACAAATATATACAATTCTCTATATATTGTTCCCTTTATACATACAGAAAGGGTGAATTTATTATACTGTTGAACAATGTTCAATTTGTACAATTTGTTGCTTCACTTACTATACAGGTGCACTTTGTAGTTCTACAAGTGAATACAAAAGAGTTTCATTCCAAAATGTATGTAAACATATATATGGATATAAAAAGATTAAAAAAAAAAATCTGGTGTGTATAATGGAAAACAAATTTTTATTTGTCTAATAAAGCTGGTATTAATCATAATATAGCATTGATATTTCTTGTATGCCCACTCACAACAATCATATATTATGAAAAAAAAGAAAATTCTTAAAAGTGGCCTATAATGTGTTTGCAATGAAACTCTTCAATTACAGTTTTTTTGTTTAATTCGTTAGATCCCCCCAATCATCAACGATCACTCAGAATTCTGAGTGAGCTTTGTGTGTGTGTGCATAGGTCTGAGGGAGGGTCTGGTGCCTCGTGCTCCTCCACACACTGGCGTGTTACGCGTTTTGGGTGTTAATGAAACTGTAAGTGATTGTGCAGCAGGTGTGTATGTGTGTGTTTTGCTGCAAAAACAAAAGCAGATTAAAGATGCATGGAGCCCAAAGACAACAGGCTGCAGATGAAAGCTAGGCCGATATGAATAAGGCAGAGAGCTCAGTGCCGGATATTGACTGACGACATGCTGCTGAGCTTTGAAATTCACTCTGGGTTCCTTTTTTTTTCTTTCGTTCCCAGGCAGGGCAGGAGAGGTGATGTATTTTTTACGGCGTCTAGACACGTCTCTCATTCAAACGAGGGGAAAACTCCAGATACGGACGAGCAAGAGGGACACACACTCAAACATGCTGTGATCCAGCTTGTTACACACACACACACGTACACACAAACACATACACACACACATATGCACACGGCGCAACAGGTTACATTAAACACACTTAATACAATTCAAGATGTGATGAAAAAGGAGGAGCACACAATACAGAAAACGCGAGCTAGAAAAAAAGAGAGAACAGAGAGAGGAAATAGAGAGAGCAAGGAGACAGAGAGAGGAGGTGAAAGAAAGAGAAAGAGAGGGGGAAGAGAGGGAAAAGCGAGAAGAGAAGGGGAAGAAAGGTGAGAGAGAAAAAGAAAGAATGAGAGAAAACAAACAGAAAGAAAGAGAGGGAGATGTGGGGGAGGAAAGAGAAAAAAGACAAAGAAAGAAGAGCGAAAGAAGAGAATGAGAGAGCAAAAGAGAAAAGAGATGGACAGAGAGCAAGACATGGGGAATGTAACAGTTTTATATTAGAAAACAAAGTTAAAAAAAATAACTAAAAAACAAAATATGATGTTTATAAATAATACATCCCTGTGTAGTTATGCATGTGAAAAATCGTGCTAATGAGGACTAAGTTTAAACTTTCATGGGTGCAACACTGAGTGTTTCAAATGATTCTAGAGTGCAACAGTGAACGTATCAAATGTTTCCAGTGTGCAACACCAAATGTTTCAAACATTTCTAGAGTGCAATATTTCAAACATTTCCAGAGTGCAACACCAAACATTTAGAGCATTTCCGAAGTGCAATGCTGAACATTTCAAATGTTTCTCTCAGTCTGCTAGCTGTCCTTAAACTTTTGTTTCCAAAGACACTTAACCTGAAGATCCTTTAATTGCTACAATTTAATTAAAGACTCAGGAAACCTAAATGCATGTTTTCTTTCTAATTAGGTTAATATTTTTCATGGAGGCAAACAGTAAACATGTACTAAATAGACCCTTTGAATAATGTTCCAATGACCAATAAATGACCGGTATATTTCACCATATTTCTCTGCTCTGGATGTAAACTTGATGGTCCTAATTTTGGCTAATACTTTCGTAAGCATTCCCTTCACCAATCACAAGGCAAACATCTCTTGCTCTGCCCACACAAAACAGGTTCAGAGTCAGAGAAACTTACCAAGCTAAAGCTAACCAAGCATAAACAAAAGCTAGTAAGCTAGCTCACCTGTCTGTAGCTGCCTGTCTTATCTCTTGGGAAATTGGGCAAGTTTTCAGATCTACAAATATGATACAACATATTATAAAGTTCTTCAGAGGCATCCCAGGTATAATTATAGTTGCTAGGCTTTGAAGGACAAACTATGTGAACCAATTGGCTACAGCGTCACCCTGAGACAGATCAGTGCTACATCTGTAGACTGTGGGTGAATAGATGTATTCCAGCATCTATTTTTCCCTAATGGACAGTAAAATGTCAGGGGGTTGAGAAGGTTAATGAAGGGGGCCCGTACCCCCCCGGTCCCCTGTATTTCGCATGTTGACTGTAGCCCCCTCACGCTCATATGTTATGTCTCTCTCATCTTATGTCTTGTTTTGAGGGTAACTGTAGCTTTCCACTTTGCTGTTGCTTCTGTCAGTTTGCTGCTTGTTGGTTTATCTGTAGATCAGTAGATCAGTAGAGCAGGGTCCAGGGTATTCTGCTGATTTCCTGATACTGCTACATCAATTTGCTTGCATATATTTCAAAATACATGTACTTTGGTGATAAACGGCGTTGTATTAGCTGGAAATAACTGGTTCTTTGAAGAGTGTCATCTATGGAATTTATGGAGCAAGAGGGCTACAATCACAGATTCTATCATAGCCACATGATACAACGGATGTTTCAAAAGGTCATTAAGAAAGTGGCATTAGTGTGTTAATTTGACATCACTACTTCACCAAAAATATCTATTCTGAAGTTTTAACAATTGATTTCACACTTTTAAACGGTAGTGTTTGCCTAAACATTACATCAGTCTGTGATAATGTCACTTTCATTTGTTCCATTGCATTATTACATTATAAGTGGAGCACGGGCACAACCTAACACAGTATACAGTGTAACATGGATACTTCAAAATTCATATTCACATTCATAAGCAAAACGGACATATCTTTAAACAGATTCCAGTAGAACGTGGTTTTGATCGTCATCCTGTATCCCCATAGTAACATCATTTGTGAATTTACAGTGATCGGACAGATATTTCTCCACATACACACTACTACTTTTTGTGCCATGAAAGTAACTTTTTCAATTATAAGTGTTTTTTAATTACGGAGTTATGTAAATAAGTCGCAGAATTCACTCTTATTTTAATCACCCTTCTGGTGGCTTTAATACAGCATCATTTTGACAGTGGGAGCTACCCAGGCTAAAGGTTAGTTTTAACAAACTGTTACAAATTGACTTCAATACATCTTGTATTGAATTAAATGAGTTAGCATCAGTTTATTAGATTTTTTTTTTAATGTTACAACTAGCCCTTCTGACTGTTACAGTCAACCCCACCAGCAGGGTAAGCATTTACACCCATGCCACTTCCAGCTGAACTGTTCCCAGACAGTAGGTGCTGGTGTACTTTCGTAGCAGAGATGTGTAGGTAGTTTGTTTAAATGGAATAATAACAACATTTTGCTCAAATTTATAATAGAAAATTATTAAACATATATTTACTGAAACTATATTGACACTAAAGAGGTTAGAAATGTCTGTGTCTCTATACATCATTTAACACCACAGACAAAGACTGCTGAAATACAAAAGGATACTGATTCAGCTTCAGAAATTACAGCACCATTAGCTAAATAAAGCACAGAGACACCATATTAAAAATAAACTAGGCCTGAAAATAAACACCCTGCAACAAGACTATGCTAAACACTGTGAGAGCACTGGGTTACACACAGAACTGTAACATGGTGGAATCAGATATGAGAGAGGGAGAGAGGGAGAGAGAGAGAGAGAGAGAGAGAGAGAGAGAGAGAGAGAAAGAGAAAATATGGTGGAATGTGTACTTGTCCTGCAGTTCTTTGAGGCGTTGGTCCCTGTCGTGCAGCTCCATCCTGAGGCCCTTGATCATAGTGCTCTGTTTGTTCACCTCCGCACTGGCATTCTGAGAGAGATAAAGTCTCCAATCAAAAGCTGTTTAAAGTGAAACTTCAACAATAATCCCCGCCCCCTCACCTCAAATGTGGTCTGGGGTACGAAGTTTGCCTCTTTAGTAAAGCATTTTAGCTACAAGGCTAATGAAGCTAACAAGTACTGGAAGCTTATACCCACCATTTAGCATTATGCTACCTGCATGCCTGAATCATCACACACTTGCCTCAAACCATGTCGATTTCTTAGGCAATTTAAGCAGTATTAAGTAAATTAAGTAATTTTTAATTGCACATCATATAAACATCGACAAATATACAGACAAAAATCAGGCTTTAAGATGGGCTACTGTTTTTAGCTATGCTAAAACATATTTTTGTCTATGTTCATAGATAACACTATGTCATACAGTGCCAGAGGCTCCATAAACAAACACAAAACAGTTACTGCTGTGTACTAAACACCATGACTGATCTTCAGAAAGTGTATGTATACCTTTAGCTTGCTGGTGAGCTGTTTTATGTCGGCCTCCAGCTGTTTGAGAGTGGGGTGGTTGGGGTCTGGGGCAGATGGTGCATTGATGATGGGATGGGTAGGGTCCAGGGTAACAGCAGGTTGCTGTTGCACCTGAGATGGAGAACAAGACTTCCTCCACTGCTCCAACTCCATTTCCAACATGGCCTTCTGCTGTTGCAGCACCACCAACTCACACGTCTGCTTCTACACACACACACGCATGTCTTGTTATACATAAGAGGACGTCCATAGGTTTCTATTAATTTTTGTGTTACTGTAGCTAAATAACGATATACCTAATCCTAACCCTAACCTTAACTTCAGTATCCAAAAGGCCATTTTTCTGCTCTTTTAGTTTTCAAATAAAAAAAGTAATTGTGGTGAAAACAACACATGCTCAAGTGAGGACCAGCAAAAATTTCATATAGTCCTATCATAGTGAGGACATTGGGTCCACAAGTGAAGGCCAAATTATTAAGTGTTGCTTGACAAAAAATGACGTAAAAGAGACATAATTTGCGTCTGCTTGTGCACTCTAATTGGATAGAAACTCAAAGTTCTATATTCTGGAGAGTTGCTGTGGTCATGGTGTGTGGCTGTGTATCGCTGCTTTCAGAAACAGAACAGGTTGCCAACTATTCAGAACTAGTGTCAATATACATTCATAAGATGATTCATTTTCCTATTTCTATTGACTGCACTTCATTTAGAAAGTTGTCCATACAGAAAATGCAACCTCCGCACTTCACTTTCAGACTAGCCAGATTTTTGGGAAAACCGTAAATCTGGCAACCCTGCGTGACGGGAAAGAACTTTTGAGTCAAACATACGCGTGTTGAAAACAAGTCGCATTTTTGGTTGTTATAGTGAACCGGCCTAAAATCCCTACTGTTAACGCAGTTTCACTACAGCAGCTTTTTTCAGACTGGTCTGTGCAGTTAAACTACTGTTTCATTAGCTGCGTTGTCACACAAGTTTTAATAGAAACTACAAACAATGTTCTATTCCGACATTTTGTTGCTAGCGCAGGACTATGAAAGCCTACAGTGCAGTATGACATCTGTCAACCACAGTTTTTTTGTCGAGTGACACTTGATGCCTGGACTATAAATTGGTCTTAAAGCTGACAAAGTAACAAAGTAACAAAGTAAAGTAAAAAAGCAGCCATGTAATAAAGTAAACAAAGTAATCATGCAAAGTAGTAGACTCACTCATGCACATTTAGCAGGCTAAGGATTCTCCACTATGGGGAGCTCTCAAGTAGTTTTTATTTGCATCATTGAAAGAGAGGAAACTGACATGGACCTACACCATCAGGATCTCATGAATACTTGTTATTCAACTCAAAAGTAAAACTCAACAGCAACTCAATAGCAAAATTCTCCCAACAGAAGCACCAAACCAGAACAACTTGACCTTGCACTGAGATCACTTCAGCGTTAAAAGGAAAAAACTGTGATAAGCATTAGATGCTAAATTAGGATTCTCTGAAAGCGTTACTGGAGCCGATACAAGCATATTTCAATGAACCAGTACTGGCTATATTAAGACATCCATTACTCACAGCAGTGAAGCAGACCTTCAGAAGCTAACAAGCAATTTAAATGTTTGTGGTATAAAGAAAGCTTTGTTACATTTAACAGCCAACAAAACACTGCAGGTCTTTGTCACAAAACCCTGAAGATGAATTCAGTGATGTCAAATTTAGTGAGAACAGAAAGTGAAGAACATTAGCACACACGAGGAGCATACTTTATCCAAACAATCATTTTCATTCATCTTCAAATCAACTAAGGAAAATACCGTTATCAGCAGCTGCCAAACACGCCTCCAGAAACCTGCCGAGATCTCCACCTTTCACAACGGAAACTTCAGCCTGAGGGAGCAGCTGCCTTGCTAGCTAATCTTAGCTAAACAGGTAGTATGTTTACTATTTACCTCTAACTTTGTTGTTTTAAAATAAAATGGCAGCTATTTATTAAACCTAATTATTTAATTGCAAGTGTCATGTTAGCCAGCTATCTAAGTTAAAACAGTTCACCCATATAAAACGTGGTTTCGTTGCAGTTTTGTTGGTAGACAGCTGTATAAGGTTGTGATACAGAAAATATAGTCTACTAAGCTTTCCTTATAAATATTCTGTCGCACTCAAATTAGTTCTTCACTTTCTGTTTTTTTAAATTTGCTTGTCTAAACAGTTATCAGATCAGGCTGGTGGAATATGAAGTTCATTTGTCATACGGACACTGTACATGAACAAAACAGAGGTCTCCTCACAAGAATAACGAGGCATTTTAGACATGTTGGCATCACTCAAACAAGGTTAAAAGGTGCTGAAATGCTCAGATCATCGTTAGGTCTGATTGTAGAAAAAACTGTAAAGTTATTGTGCCTGGACTGTCACCTACTTAAAAATGTATTTGCAAAAATACATTTACTTAATTTAAGTGTATGGTAATGCTGTGTTTACAGTACATGATTAATGGCTAACCGGATATTTCAAGTTTTAGGATGGTTTGGCGACAGAAAATTCAGCCAAGGACAATGGCAATGTTCTGCAGCATTTCTGTCATGAGTTCAGTTTTTCCACCTTTTCTGTCAGGTGGGATAATCAGGATGTTGATTTTTTTCAGAAGTATAAGCACTGAACATTCGTAGCTGAGGTTCCCCATTTATACACAACAACTGCTTTGTAGTGGAAGGAACACTCTTGTTATTCTAGTAAAGGTATCAACATGAAAAAGTTTGCATGACTGCAGACCAGTCAGTGGAATACCATCTTATACCATTTCTGCTACAAAACACGGAATGACTTCTCTTTAAAGCCAACACACAAACACAGTATTAGAGTAAGGCCCATTGCCATTTCACTCCTTGCCTCTACCACTTGGCCCTTAGCCCTCCATTTTGACCGTTCACGCCTGGGGGTGGGGTGTCCCAATTTTTGTTGAGATGGAGGGGTAGGGCAAAGTGTTAGGGCCACATTCCGCTCCAAACGGAGGTTTTTTCAAAGGCACATTCCAAATGGAGTGGCAGGGTCACCTACAGAACACCGCTAGTAGCCTGTTAATGAAGTAATGTTTTATTTTTTTATTTGAGGGTCCCATTTCGTAGGGATTTCGTCCCATTTCAGCATTTGACACTTCCACCAGAGTGGTCTCCAAACTAGTGTGGCTTTAGGTTGCTTTTAGACAGTGGCACGTATTCCGCCCAAAATTCCATTACATCCTACAGTACGATACGGATTCTGTGGGCTCCGCTCATTCTGAGGCATATCCTCGCAGATCAAGAATTTTCAACTTCATTTGCCAATGTTCACATGGGTTGATGAGGAGGAACGAAACCTGGTGGGCTCCCTGTCTTTCTTCTACAAAAAAGAAGCATAATTAGCACTAGGTTCTTGAGTCTATTCATATAGTGTGAGGTGTGATGTGGTGTTGAACTTCCAGTCAGCTCCTTGTTCGCTTTGGCAAAACTTGTCAGCAGATTTTCTGGGCGTCTGATGCAGAACGCTGATTGCAGCCTTAAAGAACTCAGGGACAAAAAACTAGAACGGGACACTGAACTAGTCTAAAATATGAACATAATCACTTTGTAACGTGTGAGATGTTCTGTGTGCTTTCCTGTCTCAGTGATGAGCAGGAGGTTATGATTAAACTCTTCGCATATGCTAATGAAGCTGATTATTCTAACCGTCTCTGTATTGTGATTGGCAGCCATAATAGAGCCATCTCCACTCGGCCTAGTACACTCTGGGAGATTAACAACACGGTGCTCAGCTCAGAGCAGAGGACTGCGGCTAATCTCTTTCTTACACACACACATACACATACCCATGCACATACACATGTGCAGACACACGCGCTTGCACATAAAAACAGTTTTGTAAAGGACGGCATTTTCTTGCTGTGGTTAGGAATGTTAGACCACATGCACTGTATCAGCGTTCTCACACAGACCTTTTATCTAACTAAAGCTAATACACTGTGTGTAATATTTCTGTCTGCAGCATCAACACAATGGACTTGTCTTCAGTTACAGGATCAAACAACCTTCTAATATGGGACAAAGGAGGAAAATTATCGCTTTCTCTCCACCCCCCACTCATCCACCCACCCACATACACAGTGTCTGGATCACTGATACAGTGCTGGAACGAGGGCGTGCGGATGCTATCTGGTTGCTGACACCTTTTAATAGAAGCTTTTTGCTTTAGGTTTCTGCAGTGTGGCACTGATGGAGTTTCCCGTAAAGCGCAGGTTGGATTTCAGGCAGTTCTCAGAGAGCAGGCCGACGTGTCCGGCGACAGTACCGCAACCCAGGACACTTAAGGCTGCACACCAGATGCATCAGACGGATGACATGCAGTGCCTAAAAATTAAAAACGAGCAAGGCGAGAGATAACAATAAATACATATCATTGGCATATCAAATTGTCGACGCACATCCTGTCTCTGCTCTCTCTCGTTCTGGACAAACTTTATGTAAATGAACTGAGCAGTGACCAATCAGATTTTTGATATGTGACACGGCAACCGATTGAGTCATCCGGTGAGGTTTAACACTGAAACGCACACAGAGTGGGTAATAATGACTGATAAAACATTATTACAATAGATGATTATTTTAAAGTTTAGAAAGTAATTTTAGGCTTTGGAGCTCAGAACTGGCGTGTAACTCTGCACAGACACCCTCTCTTTCCACCTTAACCTGCATGTGCCAGTTTTGGGCTTACACTAATGAAAATACGTGTTCACTTAAACATGGCACAACTATGCAGTTTTGAAAATGTAAAAATACAAACTCTACATTAAAACAAGCACACATGGCTCTATACTACACTCAAATTATTCTAAAGTTCAGAACATTTTACTGCTGTTATTATTTTTAGCAGTTGCAGTCCTGAAATCACTTCCCATGTCCCTGAGTGCTTTACAATGAAATGGTAAGAGAGGAAAAAAAAAGGTAAAGAAATAAAAAATAGCAAAATAAACTGAATAATGGAAGGTCGAATGAAAAGATAAATATGGATTGCATAAGAATTTTAAATAAAAGCTAAATTAAAAACCAAGGTTTAATTGTTTTTAGATATTTCTTAAAAGCCCTCTTGGCAAGGTGGACTGCCTAACTGCAAAAGCCAAAAAGTTCCAGTTTACAATTTACACAGGGTATTTGCAGAAGGCCAGGTTCTGCATATCTAAAAC